CTCTAGAAGATGTACATTGAATTCCACAACCTAGACAAAATCTACCGCCTATAAATACTAATTGACCCACTTCCTGGTGTGACCCACTTCTAGGGGGTCAATAGTATGCTGAGATCAGTTTTCTTGCTATGCACTTGCTTTATGTTAGTCTGTAGACGTATAGAAGGTAAGAACCACATTTATTGTTGGTAAGTCAAAAAGAAAACAAACCACGATAACTTCATTTCCAATGCGGGGAATCGAACCCCGGGCTGCTGTGTTCAGGATTAAACATGAAAGACAGCAATGTTAGCCACTACACCACATTGGATAGAGAGTTCCAAATAAATTGCTGATCAGTTGGTATCGGTTAGACTTCGGGGCTCGATCATATGCATCACAATCTTCCGTTCCATGATCACCGTATACTGTTTGGCTTGGACTGATTAGAATTGATCTTAGTTCAAGAATAGCTCATCATCGCCTATATAAAGGATGTCAATTTTCAGCTTAGCATTCGGTCCATCTGGTCTCTCTGATTACTCGGTCGCAGCATCCTGACGATGCACCTCTCTGCCGCTTTGCTGTCAGTGGCGCTTCTACTCGCACTTCGAGTTACAGTCAACGCCTGCAGTGACGAACACGCTCACGACCATAGCCATGCACACCAGAAAAGGCTGTTTCCTCAAACACAGTTGACGAAACCCACAAGGCCCTTGGAGTGGGGAGACTTGAATATCATCCATACCACAGATACGCATGGTAGGTCCAAGCCTCGTTGTTCAGTGGTCAGGCGCTGTATTTATGCTTCCGTCAATGAAGGCTGGCTTCTTGGACACCAACACGCTTCATTCCCGGAACCCAATTACAGTGGAGATCTCGGCGACTTTGCTAGCTTCGTGCAGCACATGAAGCAGCTTGCTATTGTGAGTAACGCTTAAAATTACACTAAACCCAGGGTTTATTAAAGCAACAAAACTGCAGGAGAAAGATGTTGATCTGCTTCTTGTCGACTCGGGTGATCTTCATGATGGAACAGGCCTATCTGATGGATTTCCAGCGGGAGGAATCGACGCTCATGATGTTCGTCCCTTTCGTGATTTTTTACTACACATTTCTGACCGTATGGTGTAGTCTAATCAATTCATCAAGCAACTTCCATACGATATCATGGCTATTGGAAAGTATGTGTAGCCAACACACTTGGATTCTCCGTATCTTACTGCTTTCTACCCCAGCCACGAACTCTACGACTATATCAATACTTGGGACATGTACACTAATTTCGTGCCCGCGTTAGATGGGAAATACCTCTCTTCTAATGTCAACATTACTGTTTTTGACGCTAATAACAACACCATTGACGTTCCCGTTGGCAATCGATTCCGTAAATTTACCACGAGGAAGGGAAGGAAGATCACCTCTTTGGGAGTGTTGTATGATTTCACGGGCAATGACGTGAATACAACGGTTCAAAGCGTGGCCGATATGGTGAAGGAGCAATGGGTTAGTAACATGAAGCTGATATCATCGATAGAGGCTGACTGGCTCCTTCAGTTCTCAGAAGCAATTGCCGAAGAACCAGATGTATTTTTATTAGTTGGGTATGTTGATCTCGTGTCGGCGTCTTTCGTTAGCATGCTCCGTATTTAATGCTGAATTAGACATATGCCTGTCTCACGCGACAATTGGCCCACCGTCTTCAACGCTGTACGTGCTGTGCATGCAGAGACACCCATTATCATTCTAGGTGGACACAGCCATATTCGGGATTGCAGTACGTCCATTAGGTTTATTTCCTTGCCTCAATACTCTATCTTTTTCTTGCAGACCAGCCTGACGGTCGCTCGATGGCTCTGGAGAGCGGACGATATATGGAAACTATCGGCTGGCTCAGCGCGAACCTTGGTAGCAGCTCGGACGTGAACGCAAAGAACAATATCTCGTTCAGCAGGAGGTATTTAGATCAGAATCGCGTTACTTACGAAGTCAGTACACGAATTCTTGCACTGAAAACTTAATTTATGGTCATTTTGATTTCTGACTTGTTCGATGTATAGTATCATTCCCAGCAGAGCAACAACTCTTTCGATACAAAAGAAGGCCAAAACATCACTCAAGGTCTTCTAAACCTTGGGGTAAAATATGATCTTTCAATGTTATTTGGAATTGCTCCGCAGGATTTCACTATCTCTCGGCATGTTCTTCTCTCTTCCTTTCTCAGCTTCCTCTGAACATCATACATCTCTATCAGCGATCCCTATCCATCTAATGGCTCCTCCCTCACCCTCTTCATCAATGAAGCTGCCCCTTATTCTCTAACTCTGAACAACACCCGCGCCAATATCACCAACATCATGATAACTAACTCCGGGTCACAACGTTTCGATATATACTCCGGTACATTCGACAAAAACGACCAAATTTCAGCTAGTCCATTCACCGATGCGTTCATGTTTATCAAGGACCTACCGCTCGGAGTGGCGCAGGAGGTGTTGCCTGCGCTGAATGCAGCTGGCGCTGATGAGAGGCGGAAGCGGGATTTGGGGTCAGTGTTGCAAGAGAGAGAGAGCCAGATGTGGAAGAGAGGGTATGTGAATATGAGGTATATGGAATGGTTAGATGAGATGGATCGGAGGCATGATGGTGCTGTCAAGAGAGCTTCGCAGAATCTGAAACTCGGATATGTTACGAGCGACGTAAGTGTCTTGTCTTGTCTTCGTTTAAAGCAATGGTTTCATTCTCGACTTCTAGTCTTGTCCTGGGGTAGGCGACGACACCATTCATGCTCCACTCGCATCTTTCGACATCCCGGATTTCATTGGCTCCGATACACCGTCCTTATCAAACGATAGCCTCGTTGATTTAGTCTTCGTGGACTTCATCCAAGAGCAGCTTTTGGAAATTCTTAATGAGGTGCAAAATGCAACGACGTACACAGATTCTGATGTAGCGAGCTACACGGATGTTTTGTCAAATGCCGTGTTGGGATTGTACGCTCAACATGCATGGAATTGACTCCCTCGTTATTTCTAGTGGTTACAGTGTAAATCTGGTGCCACTTTACGAATAGTAACCTCACCTTGTGAATGCTCGTGAAAGTCTTCGGCTTATACTTTTTCATCCGAAATTCTTGTTTCGCTCGAGTAGGCCGGTCATCGAAGTTGTCGTTGCTGCAGTTTAGAGCTTGGCACCATCATGGATGACGTGAAGCTCCTTGGCCGTAAATCTTCTGTTGGTATTACTATGTAGCTGCTACCAGCGAGATATACCGACATTACCGACCGATACTTGTCCTCTTTGCAATACTCTGAACTCTTCAAACACATCCTCCCTTCTTTAATTCCACGCATTCATCCCGTCAGGCGGAACCTTCGGCCCTATATGGTGGAGCAAATGCGTCTGGTTATTCTAATCGTGATTCTGAAGTACTAACTTAGAAGACTGCAAAACTGAAGTTAACGATTCGCCTTGTTCAAGCGTCCAGATGTATGGCTGAGGTATTTCAAGCTGTCAAAAATCGTGACGTTTTTGCAAGTCATAATGCTACTCTTAGATGGCTACGGGGAGTTGTTTCAATCCCTCGCCTTCTCCGGGCCTCATTTTGACAATCAAGGTGAAAAACATGCTATTCGCCGAGTGCATATATTACATTAACAATGAATCAATTGGGATGGACTACGACCGGTCACCATTGAGGATCTTGAGGAGGAGCCTTGTTGAGACAAACACTCAACTTATCATCACCCGTCCTCTTTGCCCATCGATAGATTTTCTGTCCCTTCTGCCCAGTATGCATCTGCGCCATAGTCTTTTCATGTCCCTCTAGATCGACATCATGACACAGATACACCTGAATGCTCCTTGTGCGGTCGTATATCATGATCGGAGGCATAAACCCCCAAAGTCCTCTTTGCATCTTGACCAGGAATGGGGCTTGCGAATGCATATTCGGTGGAAGAGCCGGTTCATCGTCACAATGGTCGATTTTCATGTTGTCCCTGGTCGCCCGAGACATGTTGTTCCAAGTCACCGTGGAAATCTTCTCGCCCCTCGCTGCAGCAAGACGCATTTCGGGAGGTTGCACGCTGAAAGTAAATTGAACCCATTCTCCACCCCTTAAAGAATTACAAGTCGGTTTATGTTCCTTCCAATGTATCCGTTGACATTCTGATACATTCAATGTGAAGGGCAAGTTTGTTCAGTTCGAAGCACACCGACAATTTAAACTGGTAGCTTACCGACTCCGCAATATTCCATAGAAAGACACCGAGAACACTTGCTTACCGTCTTTTTCCCGCAAACCACACAACCTGTATGATGGGTCAATTTCCCAATATCCTTTTGATTGATCGGTCCGAGAGGAAGTAGGAACGATAAGGCAAAAGTAGCCTCCGATCCACTTGAATTTCTTTTGACGGAGTAAGCTGGAGAAAGTCGTCGAGCATTCATGTTGAGGACAGCGATAAGAAATTTCTGTTCTTCAGGAGTGGCTGTAACCTTAAGCAAGGTCGATTGCTCGTTCGACATGAGCTCTTGGGCCCACTGAATCGTTTCAAAAGCAGGAGCATTCCGAGTTCCACGGCGGCATAGGACAACCATGACAGGAGTTTCCTCATTCAACATACGAACTTCGACAACCTAGAATATGAAGCAAGTAAATGCAATGAATGAGAAAGGGGTAGCATAGAAGGGTAGCGCACACGAATACATATAGCACACTTGGTATCTTTGTCTTGGATCAGGGCTGTGTTCACACCGTTGTCAATACCATCAGCAAGCCCCATGATAGTTTGACGAGCATCCATGAAGGTATTTTCGAAGAGGGGCCAGGCACTCTCTTTCCCTTCCCTTCTCGCGCGAATATTGGCAAACGCTTCCTCGAAATTACCTCGTGACACAGTCTTCAGCAAAGTGGTCTTGCAAGTGGTCTTTGACCATGGAGGGAGGACCGAAGGATCGAAGGGTGGCTTCGCATTGAGAGTGGCGAATGATTGAGAAGCATCTATTGCGCTACGGAACTTTTTCTCTATGGCATCATCCGGAAGACGAGTGGTAAGCGGCAGGTCTACGCCCATGCTATAGAGGTATTGCAGCTTTTCCTCTCTCGTAATGTCGACTGCTATGACTTTGGTACTCTTAGATTGGGCTTGACGTTTCATATCTTCCACGGCGAGTGCCGCCCAGTCAAAACAAGTCGAACAGTCCAATGTGTGGTGTTTCTTGCACTCGTATTCAGGATCTTTTCCCGAAGTTCGTGCCACTGCTTTGTCGAAAACATATGAGATTGGTTGTCGGTCCTGAATACATACATACTAGTAAGTCATGAAA